AACCAACTAAACGTAAACAAGATGAACATGACGCCAATAAACTGCAGCTACTTTTCAGATAAAATTTCCGTTCCCGCACCTGGATATAATGAAAAAGGTCGGAACGGACCACGCAAAAACGACACTAATGCAGCAATCAGTGGGCAGAGAAGTTCAGTTTACAATAGACAAACTGTAATCATTATAATATTTACATTATTGGCGGGTCGCAATCGTTGACTTGCAGCCGAATTGTTCAAGGTAAAAAAGTCTGGGTTGCGCATAAAATGTTGAATATTTTAATATTAGATTTATATAAGTTTGGAATGGCAGTTTCGAAAATCGGTGAGTCTTTCTCTAGAGCGATAAAAAGGAAAGTACGGAAAGAGCAACATTACAATAAGCAGAAAAGCTAGAGAAGACGTAGGTTATTTTAAGTTGAGTTTGAAGGTAAATATTTATAATCAATCTGCTTATATGCTGTATGTTGTATACAACAAAGGCAAAAAAGAACGCTGAGTTCATGTTGGTGAAGACATTGTGCGGGAAACGATGGGGTGGCTGACTTTTTAACTGAGAACATCTAATTTTAAAGAAAGTTTATTAAAACCAGTTCGAGGCCCAATCCGTCAATAATAGAACTAGGCCGAGCCGCATAATAAATCTCTTCAAATTCTCTGTCTCTAAAAGGTCGTTCACCAGTGGGGCGCGAGGTTCCTCGCGCTTCCAGCGGGGGGGGGGGGGGAAACGGGAGGGGGGCGTGGCTGGCGCCTGTTACGGTTCTCTTATTTAAAAGGAGGGAGGGGTTGAGAAACATAAGATTAATAAAATAAGCGAAGTGCGTGCACAATAGCTCATAAAAAACGGTCCAGAACGTCTTTTTCAGTTTTCGAATAACCGTTTATAGAATAGAATAGTAAATTAAAATTGCCCTTTGCAATCATAATAGTCAAATACTCGGAGCGTTTTTTGTACCGTTAATTTTTTATATACTGTGTTTTTTTTATACCTTTTTTATATAGATATAACTTGTTTTTTCATTATAATTTTTTTGTTTTTTTATCGCCAATTTGGCAAAGCCAAATTGTTGTGGCATCATTATTGAGCGGAATTCAAGCTTTGCCCCTCCATTTTTACTCAAAACTAGGAAAGTTTTGCTGTGCCCGGTCAACTGCGTCGACCGGGCCTAATATATGTATTTGACGCACGATATAGCCATGCACGCCACTTTACGAGGGCGAACCGATTTATGCCAGTTCCAAGGGTCAAAGTTCCGGCTATACGCGAGGTGCTTATGGTGGTAGAAATTTTGGCGAAGAAGTAGCAGTTGGAATTAACTTTTTGGATTTATTTCTCGGTTAGGAGAAATTTAATTAATTGTTAGTTTTTTAGATATGTGCCAAAAGAAAAATGTAACAATAGTATTGATTTGGCTTTAAGCGCGCTTTCTTATTCTACAAGCTGTCCTCTGGGTTAGATCTCACGTCAGTCTAATCATAAAATTTTTTTAATTTAAACTTTTATAAAAAAAAAGCTAAAGCAATTGTATTTACTGATTTTAACCAAAAAAATAAAATAAACGCTTTCTGATAACTTATCCTCTTCTGCCCACAGAAACCCTTTGGAATATTGTCTTTAAAACTAAAAATCTTATTGTTTGTGTTAGTGCACGTAGCAAGACATGTTTGGATTGCAAACTAATGTATTAAGCTTTTTATTTAATTGTACTAGTAGACGTTTCTATACTTTTATTACGCGCACGTATTCGTAGAATTGTTGCAAGCATGTTTTCCGATACGGTGCTCAGTCTTTTTTTTACGTATACTATAAATGTAAGATTCAAAACCAAACTTTTGCTTAATGCAAGTAACGATTTGAGACCTGTCCCAGTTCGGAAGCTAATCACTCAGTCCAGAACTCGGTTGTCTCAGTCCACAGCCGAGACAGGTCCCAACTCGATAATAAGAATTAGAAAGTTTGCACACCCTTATGGTCACTCTTTTTTCAGTCACATGTCTCCTATAATTACTGGAATAGCAATCCTGACTGAATTAATATTAAAACATCTATTACTATTACTATGCAATCCCATTCTGTTTAATACCCGTTTGAAAAATTGACCTTATGGTCACCACTATCACGTAATCAGATGATGATAAAAAGAAAGGATTATATCGCTATTTGCGCAAGAAATCGCCTCTTTTTCCTCTTTCCAAATCAAAAATTAAAAAGTTCAGTCAATACCCCTAAGCATTCATGCATTTAAGGAACGGAAACCATATTTATTTCGATAAAGCACTCTTTATTACGCTACCCAATAATAATAATAACCCAATTTTACACGGGCAAATTTGAGTGAGGTAAAAAACAAATGTGAGATATGCCGAAAAGAATCCGAATGTAAAACATTATGAAACTGTCGAAGAGTTTAACCAAAATAATTTAGTCAACGCTTCGATCGTTCGACTGTATCAAAATTATTAAAAAAAGTAAGATAAAAGAAAACATCGTAAACGAAGGTGTAGCTGAAAATTGCTTTTCGCTACAAGAATGTAAAAATATCTTATTTTCAAACTAACGTTGATTTGGGTAAGCTTACTGTGGCTTAATTTGATAGAAATTTTGCGCTCAAGAAGAAGAATAATAATAATAAAAATAACTTGTACAATAGAATTGTTTTCTTTATTCATGTTGTTGTATCTCAGTTGGGACCTGTCTCAGTTCTGGATTAAGTGATTGGGTTCCGAACTGAACTCTGCCACAACACATATTAATATACGTGGGGGGTTTGAAAAGTTTTGCGTGTGGCTCTCTAACTCGAGATTGTAACAGTTTAACTAAAAATTGGAGTAATCATAAAGTGAGCATACTTTCATGTAACCAATGAAAGAAAGTAGAGGCAAATTCATTATCTCGTTGTCAAGAAATCTTTTTTCTTATAAAGCACAGTAAAACAACTGGAAAAAAATGAGCTATAATAACTAACGGCACTTTATTTTGCTCCTTAGAAAAATGGCAGAAATGCGACTCAAATCTACGATAAGTTGGTGAATATATAAAGGAATGAAATATTGTCTACCAGCGCAATTAGACATTGGATTGTTACATTCAAACACGAATAAGAAAAAATTAGAGACAAAAGCTCGTTCTGGACGTCTTCGCGAAGCAGTGACGTTAGAAAAAATTGCCAAGATCGAGAATTTTGTCAGCAATAACCCGCACATTTCTATTAACATTTTAGCCAACAAAACCAGTATTTTTCCCGAAAAAAATCTCTCCATTTTGTATAGTGAGCTATGCCTCCAGAAGAAAGGGACGAACAACTGTTCGTGGCGTACCACAATGCTGCGCCACATAAGGCAACGATCATGACGGAGTATCTTCATACTGAACGAGTGAAACTTATTCTCTATTTGTCATACAGCCGAGAACGTATTGCTTGTAATTTTTTCTTATACCCTCGAATAAAGAAACAACTGAAGGGAAAAAGATTCGATAAGGGCAAAGGCTGTTCAGGCAGTTGCTAAAACCATCCCGAAAGCCGACTATGAGAAGTCTTTCTAGAGTTGACGAAATCGTCTGCAATGTTTCATGGACATTATTATGGAGAGTACTTTGAGGGAACAAAATAGTCGTATTGATACTTATTATGAAATTTCTGGAAATAAAGATCTACGCGCGAAACTTTTCAAACCCCCCACGTAGTATGCTGGGGAGAGGGTCGGGTCTTTTTTGTCTTTTACAGCACAAAAAAAGACAAGGATAAAATATAAATGTAGTAAAACGTTATAGAAAATTATTTCGAACGGTAATACGTATCCACGTGTTCCCACCATCATTATTCCTAGATGTGAATTTTAATTTATTGTGTGCAAAATATTGTTTGGTACTTTCCTAATGTATGTTTTAACGTGTTATAGTTTACTATAAAACATTGATTGATATAATTTTGAAACATTTGTTTCGCTAAATTTACTTGCAGGATGCAGAGGTTCAGTTATAATGCAACTGTTTTCCTCGTATTATTGACTTAATTTTACGTTAAAATACGTCTCGCCAACGCGTTTGGTCAGATTAATAGAGCATGCTGATAATCTCGACCAACATTACCATACGAGCGTATCAAGTATTACGCTAGACAATGTCAAGCATTTTTTATCTCTGCAGTAGAATAATCTTGTTGCACAAAATAAGCTCTAACTTTATGACTTTTACAAGTATTGACTTAGTAACACATGGTAAGATATTATGGCATACAAACGAGTGAGTAAATAAAGAGATAGAGTTAATCAGGAATATTGCGTAATCTTGCGGAGTACTTGTAGCCACTTATTATTATCAATTAAATGTTTCCATTTTAAGACTTTTGTTTGTGAATTGCTTAAAATAGTGCATACATTCTCAAGCGATTACATTGTATTGTAACATTTTCAAGACACAAAAAGACGCTAGTGACACATGTATTCGTTGCCTAGACCGTAATAGTAACTGGTAATGACAATGATAGCGATCCATTATTCAGAATAAGCAAAGAGTGGCAAAATATTGACCCTTTAAACATCTCTAGTGAAGTGAATGCTTTTTAATTCCGTTTCTCAATTATGCATTCATTGTTCAGGCGGTTTTAACTCTCCGTACACATGATCAGTTATAAAATAGTGTGACTTTTAGCAGGCTTGTGAACCAAACTTGGTCGCACTATTGTAACTTTACTTTACTGACTATTGTCTTGTAGTTGCACAATTGTAAAACAAAGAGGGTTTGTCGTAGCGATAATAACGATAGCGTCAGTCTATAAAAAGGTTGTGCGTTAATCAAATATGTAATATTGACGTTTTCGTACCTGTGAAACATCGAGCTTCCCCCAACTAGAGCTGGAGGGACCAAACCCTAGGTTAATTCTAATTCTGCACTGACGCTAAGCCAGACAAGGCCTAAATGGTCGTTTTGTCACACAACTTCTTCCACACCTGCATACAATTTATCAGCGCATTTATCGCCGCCACTGTTTCACTTACAACATGGCTTCCGTTGCCGAAGTCGGCACAATCCTTGGGGCGATCCTTATACTTGTAGCAACTATACTTTACGCAACGCACCTATTTCTGAAATACATAGAGAAAAATATCAAATTCGTGTAGGTAGCATTAGACCCTTTTGCATATCTGACATATCATACGCTTCGCATAATTCTTGGGGTCAGTACCATCGCGTCAGCGTCGGTAAAATTCATTTGCAATTTCGGAGGCCAAGCGAAAATCACAGGACATGGATTACTCTGACAATTAACGATTTGCAGATAGTGCTATCCTCAATCAAATTGTTCACGGATTCACAACGAAATCTCCATGCGAGGCAGCCGAGTTTAATAGCTACAGTGCAAACGAAAGCATGGTGGTCTTCCGTTTCAGTAGTAAAATACGCTATTACTAAAATATCGGCCATTCATTTTCAATTTTTGTTATCCGGGATAGCAAACTATGTCGACCTTCAGGTTGACAGCGTGAATGTATCTGTGGAAGATTTAGGACGCTTGGTCTTACAAGAAGTAGTAATGGGTATGGCGTTGTTCGCCTATATAGACTCTGGCAATAAAGAGGCAACAAATAATCAACTCAGTCGAGCCGCTTCGGAGCCCGAGTGTCATTCGATCAGGAATCGTAGGCATGTTTTCTCAAAAAAACAATTGATTATCAATCTCTCTTGCTCTTCACTTACAATCCAAGACATGGGATCAATAACACAAAAAATGTCTAGCAAGACTTCAATAGATCACAGTGACAGCGCATCAACTGTGATTCCGGCCATCAAACTTCCATATTCATCAACTGTAAAAATGTATTGTAATCTTTCGCCCGCGTGTACTTCTCTCACTTCATTCGAGACTGCTGTCATTTTAAATGATGTCGTGCTAAACGTGGATAGAATATTGCGTCTATCCGCAATATTTTCGAACAATGTACCAAAAGATCGGACAACAAATTCCAAGATTATGAAAAAAGTTGTTGGTCAAAAACCATTTACTAAATCTGTGCTGTGGTCACCTATAGTACGGAGGATCAGGGCAAATCGACGAAAAAAGACTTTACTAGAACTAGTCAATGGCGCATCCATCGGGCTAACTGATCTAATTATTCAATACAATGACATCGCATGGGATGCCAAGAGCTCTTCTTACATGGGCGTCGAAATGAGATTGTCGGGCATAACAAGTTCCCTGAAACGACTCGATCCGTTGCCAGAATCACCTCGGCCCGTAAGTTCGCCGGGTTTATCACTGCTAGCTGATGACTTTCCACAAGTGCTTTCCTTTGAAGTAGGTTTGGGGTTCAACAGTGTACGTCTAAATGCGAAACATCACGCAGGTATAATGCGAATGATGGAAGTAGATAGTTTGACAGCAAAACTCAATATTAAGAAGCCTCATGAAGAGTCTGGAAATGATGATCCGAATTCCTTTTGCATCCTGGGAAAGATAGATATACTGTCTCCCACTTGTATATTAGACATTACTCATCTTGATATCTTGTTAGGATTTTTCGATGCTTTGCATGGTAAGAAAATGTCAGAAAGACAATCGTTTGAGGCGCAGAAATTATGCGGATCAACACAAGAACCATTATCATATGAACATTGTAAGTCAATCCGATCAATACCAAAGGTCATTTTCACACTAAATATACAAAAAACGGCATTCACAGTAATTAATATTAACGCGGACATTGGGACAGCTGCAGCAAGCAAAATCTCTAGCTTGAATCTTACTATTGACAGTATATGCCTCGACATTAATGGTGATTATACAGAATTGAGTCTTCTTCCCCGGGGGAGAAGGGAACGGACTACGTCTAGACGTTACGCTAGGGGGTGGTCTCCTCCATCTTTTACACTAATGTATAATCTTATCGCCAGCTTCAAGATGAATGATACGCGACTGTTTACTCCAAGCTCGGAATTAATTATTAATCATTCAGTTGAAATGAACGTTTTTGTATCAGCTTTAGGTACCGTTGAAACGTTTCAAACACATTTACATAATTTGCTTTACGAATATTGTTTAGAACCAGAAAGCATACAATTGGACACGAGTATATTAGTTGACGGATGTGAAGTTTTCCTGTATGATAAGCATCAGTTTGCTGTCATCACATCATTACTTGCAGTGATCCATAATTTATCGAATGGCAAGAAAGACAAAAACACTAGGAAAACTCTAACAAAGCAGCAGGAACAACCACAGATTATGTCTCATGGGTTTTTAGCGTTTCTAGAAACCATGCAGTGTCATTTTTCGATTTCTTCAACACAAATAAGAATTATTGGAACTGATGATTATGTCGATAAAATGGTGTCTCGCGGCTTGGACGTATGCGTAGGGGCCATAATAGTCGACTTTCGAGGTGCGCGAATTAGTATTGATCCTACATTTCAATGCAAGGAACGTTTGGACTTTAAATTAGATGTTGACGATGAGACAAACCAGGAGGAAACTGGTGGGCGGGCAAAAGTGATAATTAAGAACGTTACAGTAGTTCCAATTATATGGTATGGATCAATAGTATCGTTAAATGACGCAACGCCATTGATTGATATTCCTGCAATCGAATCTTCGGTTGGAATTGCTCTCGAAGTTGGATCACCCAGTTGCAAAGTTGTTGTTCGTACAGAGCTTACGGTTAAAGAGTTATCGATAGTGTACTCTTTGTTATATCATTATAGCTGCTTGGTAGGAGTTGCGCCACTTTTGCATCTATTACGCGATTTTCAGATGCAGAGACATTTAGAGAGCTCGCCAAAAACAGAGTCATCGAAAGGGAATTTGTTTACACAGTTAGAAACGGAATTTACAATAAATCATATAAACTTTACGGCGACGCTTCCCGACAATTGCAAGTTCTTTGCAAGATTTAACGATGTGAAATACAAGTATACTCCGGAACAGGACAATGGCTGTAGAATCAAACAGATTAGAGCGTTCGGTCGGTGCCCGACAGAGCCTTATTTGTGGGATCAACTTGTAAATGTAGAGAATTTATGCGCTGTAATTACAGAGATATCATCTGACAGTTTACAGCAGGTAATTCGAATGGAGGCTCGAACTATCAACGTTCGAATACCATACAAGTACGTTTTTGCAGATGCTTCAGAGAGTATTGTTGGCGCAACAAAGTCGATTAAGCAGCTACACGAGAGACTTTTGGCGGGCAAACATGACTTTTCACTTGAAGCGGAAGAAGAAGGGCCGAAAGAACTGTTTACGTGTCAGCTTAAAGTCAGTATATTTACTTTTCAGATTGATGATGATCCTTTTGAGGGCCGCTTATCACTAAACTGGAAGGTCGGCCGCGATGAACAACGGGCTCGCCTAGAAAGGGAAGTAGCGTTTGATGCCAAAGTAGCAGCAATCAGGAATCATGAAATGCGGAAACGATTAAAAAAGGCAGAAGCCGCGACCGATGAAAATAGTATATTCGATCGAACCTATCCGTTAACAGACCCTTCGCGTGACACGGATTCTGATAACGTAACAGAACCAGAAATTATACAACCGAAGCGATCCAGAGTGACCTTTCGTCCTGCTCCTTCACATCATGCAAAAATCGGCATTGAGCAAGCACGTAGAACGCTTAATGAATACAATGCAAAAAACTGGATCAAAAAGATTAGAAACGCTTATGTTACTCAAACTTCGACGTCTTCTGGTCATTCGAAATTAGCCGATGATACGCTTCCGATACAGACAACGGAAATATCGTCGCACCCCGCATTATTAAAAGTCACTATCGCCAAGTTATTTTTAACCGTCTCGAAACCGTCGTTTTCTCTTGATGAATTGCCTCGGTACATGCATATAGTAGGGAAAGGCTTACCTCTCAATACCAAGTTTACTTTGCTAATACCTATGCATTTAAATTGCAAACTAAAAGAAGCATGGGTTGAGATAAGGGATTATCCACTACCTCTAACACACATACCGAAAGTTAGTCGAGCCGACGATTGCAAGTCATATTCGTTCATTCTTGACGGAGATTTTGTTATTGCCGAGGAACTTCGAGGCCCCGAGGTTGTAAGAAAAACTTTTGTAGAGATAATTCCTGCACAATTTAATCAGAGTGGAGAAAATTACGCGCTGATTATACCGAGAACATGCTCGCCGGTTAAGCTTTACTCAAGCCTACAAGTTAATGTGAATTCGTGCCTTCCGTTCATAATCACTTGGACTCCATCGATACAACCCGCACTCCTTGATGTGGCCAGAGTCTTTGAAAGCTTTACAAAACCAAACCCAGACCCGTCCGCTATTATTGGATTTTGGGATAAAATAAGACTAATGCTTCACATTCAAATTTCGATTGATTTTGAAGGAACCGGCAGTCTCCAATTTTTGAGTAAAGGTACATGGGATCCTTATAATGTCACCGGACGTGGATCTGGCTTCTCCTTGTGCTGGAGAAAGGGTGTAAAGATAAGGTTGGGCCATGAAAATGATGCGGGAGAATTTTTGCAGATAGATAGTGAAGAGTTTGCGCTTGCCATTCCTGACTTGATGCGCATTATTACCATGGGAGATCTATTGCCTAGCAGTTATGCGTATAAAAATCGAAAGGATAAGAGCAGCGGATCGACAAACAGTGATAACCTATCAGATGACAGGTCGGATTTTTGCCATATGAACTATCTAAAGATTGTCGGGAAACTTGGTGGCGGTGTTCGATACGGTATGGGTGGACATTTTCATCGTAAGAATTGTGACACTGCTAGCGGGCTTTGTCACAAATGTTTTGGGAGTAATCAATGCTTGTCAAAGGAATCAATTCCCCACTATCATGTCATTACGCGGATGCCAGAATATGCTATTTCACATGACGGAAATACTTATGATTCGTTCAAGGGCTTTCGATCTGATTATGTTCATTTGAGCTTTAGCGTAATTTGTCCTTTGACTTCGGTCCATCCTCACGATGCCAAATCAGAGTCAACTACTCGTTTGAGGAATTCAATACATTTGAGCCCGGAAGCTCTTCAACATGCTTTTGCATGGTTGTCATTGTTTGATTCTGCGATTTCGATTCCTATACGACAAGGTGCTCTATTTCCAACCCAAGAAGCGCCATCGCCCAAGCTCATAAATCACTTACAAACGATAAAATACAAAGTTTGTTTGTCTCCATTGTCTCTAGGTATTTTCTATAAGCATCAAACTTTCAATGAACAAGCCGACGGACGAACTCAGTTTTTAGGGTTTAAAGGTAAAATCGACCAATTTACTATTGATTTACATCAGCGAGTGCAAGAGAAAATCATTGAAGCCGATGAGCAGCAAGTGGAATCAAAAGAGATGGTTTTGCATGAGGCAGAGATGGATTTTAAAGATTTAGATTTGCGTTGTATTGTCGTACGCTATACTGATGACGGTGTTGATTCTTGTGAATGTGAAGAGAATGAATCAGAGAAACAGGAAGATGCGTTCGGAAAAGATGAAGATTTTGTTTGTTACAAAGAGGACGATGAGTGGATTGATTTAGACGACTATATGGAGATTGGATGGATATTACCGGAAGTGTTACCGCGAGTACGAACATTTCCATTGCTAAAATGTCCACAACTAATGTATTACAAGCAAATTGTGAAAGAAGATAAAGCAAAGTCAACGCAAATTGATCAGGACACGCACGTGTGTATCATGGGACGAGGCAGAGGTATTTATAGGTCAAATTTGTCATCAAGGGGCTTTTCCGTAAGGTTTTAAACAGTCAATCTAATATTAATTAATATTTTCTGTGATATTCATCATGCAAAGAAACGAAAGAAATCCAAATGCATCTTTTAAATCAACGCTTAAACCAGATAGAATTGGAAATAGCAAAGCAACAGACAAATTATGAGCTCATTGAGAACAAGCTTATGTTGGATCCGGGGAATCTTGATTTGAACGATGAGGTCAGCTTTCTTTTTTTCGTTTTTGTTTTTGCAGAACGTCAATTTGTGCTTGATAATGACACGAGGTTTATGCGTTTAGCTAAAAGAAAAAACCGAGTTACTACGCGTCTTATCAGATAAAAAAAAGCTTATTCTTGAAAACAGCAAATTGCTTTCACGTGATGAAGGAATACCGAAAAGTTTTCCCAGAAACAATAACTATGGCGTTGATGACGGTGATGAAACGGATGAAGACAATCGCCGTGAATTCGATTTTCCTCTCTGGGCTGATCCAGCTGGTCACTTTAGCCATCGGTTCGTCGTTCATAACGCACAATTAGTTTGGAATAATAGTGTACGCAATGTTACGTACAAATTTTGGGATCTTATCGAACAATACCGTGGTATCACATATTATATGTCAATGAGGGCGGTAAAGTTTATTCGCGATTTACAGAAAAACCAGAAGCATGGAACTACTTCTCCTCTTCAAATGCCATCAACACCGGGATGTGATGACTCGGGATTCGATGCACATCAGGCGGCTCAATTGCTTAAGAAGCTAGTTGGAGAAGAAGAAACTAACTTTGTTGTTCCGAACGAGCAAATTGTTGAAAGAGATGATCCGGGAAAAGATTACCGTAGGCCAGCTCAAAAGCCTGATGATATTCCTGACGGGTACTCACTTTGGAAGAATTATATCATACAATTGATAAATCCACAGATCAACTTTCAGAGCGATAAGGATCTCTGGGCCAGTATTATACTATCATGTGAAAGGGCCCAATTGAAGTCGTTTCAAATTCTCGATGATCGTTTGAAAGGGGATTTTACAAATGAGGTTGTTAAAACAAAGACAATATTTGGCTTGGACAATGCTCAGTTTTTTACAGTGTTTAAGAAACACTTTCAGTCTGATTTATCGCGAATGCTTGCAGCAAACAATTATGGCGGCGAAAACGAAGACAACTGGCCTGTATGGCTTCCCGTTGAAGCCTTCCTCTGGTCTGAAAGAAGCTTGCATCCGTTTCAGCAAATTGTGAAGAGGACATCAGCCACCATGCAGTACGACAAGTTCAACCATCTCCGAATAAAAGATAGTCAGCTTGATGATGCATATCGTGAAAATCAGCCTACATATCTGAAAAATGATGAAAACGCAAAAAGAATGGACTCGTGGCTTATCAATTTTCCCAAGTTTAAGTTTTCCGCAACTTCAGATCAATACGGCGTCTTCTACAATGTTGTGTCTGATCTGTTGATGTACCGTGAGCCAGCTAAGAAAAAGCGAGCGGATAAACTAGATACTATTTTATATACAGCTGATTTGGATGATTTGACAGGAGCGGCCGAGATGGTGGCCACGTTGCAGGAGGACATAAGACAGCTGGAAGAGTTAAAACATCAGTTATTGCTGAACTCAAATATTTCCAGTGAAGACTCTTTTAAGAAATTGTTAGAGGTCAACGCTGAGTTGTTGGATTCACAAGAAGAACTTTACTTACTCATGGAAGCGATTACAGCGTCGCAGAATCAAAAGGAAAAATTTGATGGTAATACCGCGCTAAAGCTTATCGCAGCGGCCGACGAAGTTGAATGGATAATGCAACTAGATGATAGTGAGCCATTCTGTGAGTGGGGACTGGCTAATGCGCATTTTGTATGGATGACTAAAGAAGATCATTCGAGTGCTAACACGTTGGAAGTTGATAGTATGCGTGTAATTAATAGATTGAAGAACCCAATATTCACAGAATTAATACGTCCGTACGTCACGGATCAAAAAAGAGTTACAAATTTCAGTCGACACAAGATGTTGCGTGTATATTGGAGAGAGACGGACCCGATAGCTGGAATAGCCGTTGTTGAACATTTTGAAATTAATTTATTTCCTTTAAAGTTTCAGATGCAATACGATGTTGGTAAACAATTAATGCTGTATATATTTCCCTCAAAACGCAAGGCAGAAGATACGAGCTCTGCTAATAATACAATGCAGTCAGTTCCATCAGCATTAGGTTCAATGTCTACGAAAAACGGTTTGTCAGATCATGATACATTGACACAACGTCAAAACTCAACGCCAATACAATCGCGGCGTAATTCAGAAGAATCAACGGAAGCCGTTGGAAAGCCGCCAAAATTTATTAGGGATGATGTAGTATCTGTTAACGAGGCGATGGTCTCAAGCGAATCAGAGACGCTTGTGGCATCAGAAGATGGGACAGCTTCTACGGCTAGTACTGCGCATACAAGCAGCAATAAGAGATCTAAAATTCAGAGTAACCCTGATTATAGTAGTACTGTAACTGACGAACTGGAGTTGATGAGAACACGGGCTACAAATAATAAGACATTTGTGTACATAAAAATACCAGATGTGGTGTGCAATATCAGTTATCAGGTAAGAATATGTTTACCCCCAAGCATTTGAATAAACACGCACGCCTTTTCATATACTAATTTATTGTTTTGCAATACAAGGGGGCGAAAGAAACTAATCTCACGGATTTCTACGATTGTGTTTTCAAAATGCAAACGCTAGAATATCGTGGAAGGACATGGTCATGGCTTGACTTTTTTGAGCAGTTGAAGAAAGGTCAGAATACACAGAGATCTTCTGCACAGATTTCGCAGTCGCTGTTTAATTCCCATTTTTTACGCACTAACCGATTTTCCTAACAATAATCGATTGACAATTTATCTAACAGATGTAATTAGATCCATTCTTCGAAACACGGGAGAATTAATAAATGCCAAGTTACGCAGGCCAAAACCAAACACCGATTCTGATTCAAATGTAACTGGCAATATGAACGAGAGTACGTCCTCTGATCTGAATAACGCGACTGAAGAGTTGCTGTTAGGTCAAGACTCAATGTCGGGAGCAGAGGAAGCATCGGATAAGGGATCTGTTACAAGTAACGAGAGCTTGGAAAAAAAGCCAACTAGACATCACCTATTGAAGTGAGTGAAATAACGTAATTCAATATGAAAAGAGATAGAATATGTTATTAACTCGAGAAACAATCTTATTTATAGGAAAAGCAAGAATGAAAGCAGAGAAGTAAATAGAAAACATGCACGCAGAATCAGTAACTCCACTATGATCTCACAATTATCTAGCAGTACCTCATCTTCGGCGTCTCATCAGCATACACCTGATGATGCTGAATTCGAGACTAAGAGAAAACTTTTATTGGGAAAACTATATTCGGGCATTCACCATCATAAATAATCTGATAGTTTGTGTTCAAAAATGGACAATCGTAAAAAAATCCGTATATCCTTAAACGTAACAATGTAAAATAGTAATTCATTATTTTCTCGAAAGGGTTAATTCCAGTCCCTTGAGAATACATTTAGACTCCGATTGGCGTTTAGTAAGACGCCATATTATTAATATTAATTAATATATTTATTAAATTGAAAAATGTGATTTCACGCTAAATATTGTAAGGAAAAAAATCGAAAATTATTTTGTCAGCAGTCGCGGAAACAATATCCTTTATGATTTTATTAAGTAACGTTTTTCTAATAAAAGGCATACTGTACAATTTTCGTCATAAAGGAGTTGATCATTCATCGCGAAATATTAGCTATGTAATTTAGTCCTTATTCAATCTTCTCTTTTTTACCGGCTTTTTCTTCCTTAACTTCCTTGGGGTCTTGGTGTTATCAGCAAAAAATCCAATTCTAGATGTGGGTGGCGGTGTAGAACTTCGGCTAGCTTCCATCAATTCATTTTCCAGGTCATCATCTGATCCATTATCATTGTTATTTTTACCCAAAACATTCAAGACTTGTAGGTTATCCTTAATAATCAACTGTAGAAACGATCAGAAGGCTGAATAGAAACAAAATAATATTACGACAATAAGCTTTCCTTACCTTGTATTGATAAATTGCTATTAAAAGTTTAAGAAAAGATCTTACTCCTTCTTTCGAGAACTTGCCATCTACATTGAATGATCTCGGGTCTTTTCGAAAAATACAAACAGAACCACCTGCACGCCACAATCTTACAAATTGGATCCACAGCCCAAGATGTAAGATTCCAACCACCTGTAATCTGTCTGCTTTTTCTCGTTCATAGTTTACGGCAATCATCATATCAGTATACATGTCCCGGAGAGTTTTTGGCATCTTGAACGCCTCGAGAAGGTATTTCCGGTCCGAAACGCCCAAGAAAGATTTCGCGGCTTCGATAACCCCCATTTCAAGTTTTCTATTGATGCTATAAATTATCCCGTCGATTTTGCGGCCGGTAAGCTTTCTTGTGCGCGTATTTGCTTGCCGGCCGCGGTTTTTCCTGTTCGCACTACTGACCGACGGGGCATCTGTTCTATAAAAAGTGAGAAATAAACCGTTAGAAGGACGCGAAATTGAACGTTCATGTTGATGGAACAGTTAAAAACCTCTTAATGTCCGTTCCTAGTTGTGTGTCCCTAACACAGAAATCGATGCATGATCCAAAAATTGCAACCGTGTACCAGTCTTCATATTGGTTTCTTATCATCGGGGAATCCGTATTTTCATATAAATTACATAGCGCGCGCATAGCCACCTGAATCCATTCTTTATCGTAATGTTTACGGATATCATATTTTTCTTCATCTTTAAGATACGTCGTCATTACAATTGTGCGTAGTTCTTCTAAAGTTTTTTTCCCATATCTTGCCATTTCTTTTACAATTTCGTTCGGAACAGGGGGAATCCTAATTCTATCTTTAGTTAATTCTTCCCATTCCGCATTGGTGAACAAAGCTTTTATATTCTGATCATCACAGTTCACGATGTACGAATGGGCATGGCTAATAATATGTCAGTATCATAAATGACATGAACAAGAATTTAAATTTCAAAAGACTTACTGTTCATAATCCAGATCTTTTGCAAATTCAAAAAGAACATCTTCTACTATTTTACCTGTGCTTAATCGTAACTTTGAGTAATGTGGAATAGCACCATGAGCTTCACGGAAGGCAACTTTATCAACTTTTGGAGGACTATTATCTTCTTCGTCCTCATTATCTGTATCACTTTCCTCATCCATCTCATAATCAAGTTCTTCAGAAACTGACCCATTCACAATATCTCCTCTACAGTATGGACACATTCTCACAGATCCAGAAATATTAATCTAAATAATAAAAAAAAAGTAAATTCTTTTTATTCATTGCAAGAACTGAATTTAAACATGCTTACCTCCATACCACAATTGGAGCAACAGGACAACTCATCTCCCTTATGGATATGCTTTTCCACCTGGTGATTCATTTACAAAGAGTGAAAGCAAGATAAAAAATGCCTCTGATGCTATCTGCTATAAATAATGATAAGCACAAATTCATTTAACATGAATATCATACCTTGCCTTCTTCATTACTTCTTCCTTCAGGAGGGCTTTGAAAAAAGCTGTCAATCTCATCACGATAGTTCTACAAAAATGCAATAAAGCATATGTAAAATAACAATTTACATTATATTTTTATGGATAGTTCTTGTACAGGGCATCATTAATTACCTTTGGTCTCAGTCCACTTTCCAAAATTTGATGTCGTCTTTCTCCAATAAGCTCAGAATGAATTGTCGCTTCTTCAGATTTGTTGGCAATATATTTGAGCTAATAGAAAATGTCAATCTACATAATCTGTTTGTAATAAGCAATTAATACACAAGACAGAATAAAAACTCACATCTGCAATGGCCATTTGTAATTTGGTTTCTTTTGATACGGCCTCCAACTGATGATCGAGTTTGGAGATTCTTTGTTGTTCCCAGAACTTCTGTACTTCTTCCGAATCTTTGTCATCCTAGCATTCAAGTAATGTGGTTAATAACTCTGAATCAATAACAACTGTATGCTTGGATGCAGTGACAGACTGGACGAGGCTCAGGGACCTATCATATGGGACTGGCTCGACGACCACCCAAATGTGTCCAGCAATAGACTGAGGCATCCTACCAAGAGATAAAACTCATGGCCTATCACTACACTGTTGACCGAACTGAACGAGGCTCAGGGACCTATCATATGGGACTGGCTCGACGACCACCCAAATGTGTCCAGCAATAGACTGTGGCATCCTACCAAGATCCATGGGATCATAGATCAAGGCTCTTTCAACAGTTTCCAAGCATACACTATATTATATATTGTTAAAAATATAATAAAACGTTTTCACCTTAAATGAAGATGCCAATTTGTGAGCTTTTCGCGATGCATATTTTCCATATACATCAGAGTTAGCAGCAACATGTTCGACCATTTTCTTCCAGGCGCTGTTCTCAATTGACATGTTTAAAATAGCAGGTGACTGGGATCTCCACCTCAAAAAACTGATAAGTGACCAATCTGACAGTTTGGCCTCTTTAAAATAATTTTCTCTTATATTAGACATAACGCGACGCGATTGAACTTGCAACGTAGCTAAGCCTAAATATAAATGCGCGTGCGTGAGTTTCATGTGATTTACATAGAATGTAGATGATTGGGTGCTCTAAATTTAATGTCGGACAAAAGGGGATGTCATCGGTTAATAAACGATTGGACGAAATTACAGAATTACTATCAACCATCAGTGAAGCAAACAGTAAACATATGGTGCATCACTCTATACTCGACATAAAACTACCTGCCTTTAAAACCTTTCAGCTTAACGTATAGGCGTTTTTTTTTTGAAATCTGGCAGTAATCATGTTTATTGCGACATGCTTTACAAATTTACTGGTTGGTTTGTCATAAAAACGCCTCGAAAGGTTTTAAAGTTGGAATACTTTTTATAATAATATATCAGCTCTCCGAAAAATGCTGTGAAAGACAATTAGTAATTTGTGGTATGTAGTCTCATTCGACATACGCGTATACGTTTGCGCTTCAAAGTTATTTTTGTCCAACATCATTTCGAAATACTTTTTTAACATGAATTCATTGACCAGTTCTTATTGTAATTTCTACTAACCTTGCTAGCGAATTTGTGGCTAATACTAAGGACAAGAATGGTTATCACAAGCAGTCGCAATAAGCAGAGAGACCTTTAGTCAATAATAGTGTTTGTAATAATAAAGAATCTTTAGAATAATTGAAAATGTCAAAATTTAAGAGAGCTGCTAAATAATTGCGGTTCGGGCGATTACATTAACATTATCGGATAGACGTTAGCAATTTTGACGATTCTACAAAAAATAATAACTAACGAGATAGTCGAGCTAGTCGAAGATATTGATGAATACAATTGGATGTAGGCTGTATATATACTATAATAAATACAATAATAAGATTAAATTTTATAAACAGATGTTAAATTTCTTAATTAATAGTTGCCACCATGAATATATTAGCCAGAATGCTATATCATTTTGGTTTTACTGTTTACAGCGTGACAACCTAGCTGCCAAGCCAAAGCCTCACAAAAATGTCATCAGATCAATCAGTTTAGTTTTCAGCTACATCAGCTGCTTTCATTTTGTCTGGTTTTGTTGCGATGCCCCATATGAGAAGCCTTATTAATATTCGAAGTTTTTTCTGCAGATCATTTTCATTAAAACCGCAAACTTTGGAGAGTTTAGCGATATCAATCATAAAACAAAACTTCGCTGGTGAGTCGTAAATTCCCATAATCGAGTATTTATTCCGTTAAATTTCAGATAATTTTGAGTTACGACCAATAGCGATAATAAGCGTGTATTTTTGGATGACTCTTTCAAAAACTCTGAACTTTACTATTACAGCCGGATTATTCAAGATCGGATAAATTAAAATACTCGATTTTCAAATCCCCAAGTGTATTACAAAAGTCTTTGGACAATCAGCGATGAAATTAAAAAGTCATACAAGATTAAATTAAAGTGCTACTTAACCATATTTGCCTCATCTATTACTAACTTACTTTGTTTACTACTGACGATCTGTTTTAGTTTATCTCTTGTCTCAATAAACGCGAATACAATAAACCAATTTGCTGCTGAAATTCAACGTATCCCGATTGACGGAATTGGCAATATTAATATCGTCGAGAACATTGGCCAATAAACTGTTACTAAATGGTATAGATGTCTCTTATGTAACAGTTTTGCGGCATCTCGGATATGACAAAAACGTCCACTGGCACACTTTTTATCGATTTGGTTGTTTCGGAACACAATAGAGTACTGGTATAAACCATCCCTAAAGAACGAATCAGACTTGATGCCTGGGGCGGTTCTGTATTAAAGGGAAAACCAGTCTCTTTTGTTTTCGTGAAAACATGACCGGTCAATTTTATGTTGATGTCATTAAAAAACATCTTCCTGATGCTCAGTAAAAAGTGGCGACTCTAACAGGGTAACGATCCGAAACATACGAGCAAATAGCCAAAGAATTTCTTCAGAAGAATGTTTCGACCGTTATGGACTAGCCCGCTAAAGTCCCGATCTATCAAAAACTTGTGGGCATTGTTAAAGAGAGAATGAGAAACGACAACCAAAAAATATCGCAGTTTATGGTGGAGTGGGATAGTGTTCCACAATTAATTTAATCGGAACGTTGTCAGCTTATTAGAGCGAATTCCTTATTATTATTAAATTTGTAATTTATGGCTTAGCGCAAAGATTTTTGTAACACACTGCATAATAATATAATAATAAGAAAAGCTTCTTTATTTAATATTTTTATAAAAACACTTGAAAAGTGACGATATTCACTTACGATTGGTCAAGGAAAACGAAAAAGTAGTGAATGAATAACGTTACGCATTGAGTGCAAGTCCTCTTGAAAGTCACGGGGCTGCCTTATAACAGTGCTACGTGATCAATCATAATAATAATCATTCTCTCTCTCCCCGTTATTTTTATATTATAATTAGCAGCCATGACTAGTTTCGATAGCTTATATATGCGTTACAAAATGCCCTCGGACGCATATACTTCTTTCGCTCCCACCACGGAGCGGGCTGTTGGGAGACGGGGCAGGGTCGGATTTCCGGCTGATTACCCTCTTGCGTTTCAGGATGCTGGTGCGTTGGTAAGAGAGGACGGACAATAACGTGGTGATTATGCGTGGAGAGAACGATACCATGATACAAGAGCATTGTGATCGCAGACGATAATGATTGTATATTGTTTAGGTGAATATCCACATTCGAATTTAAAATTTGATGCAAAACGAGGTGTTTTTATTGAAACGGATCAAGACTTGCTAAACGTAAGAATGGCCCATTCGTAAGGCGTTGTTACTGTAACATTTTAGCGCACAGAGTATATTCTGCATCCATACTAAGAGATTATCGATTCCTCTCCTTTCTCATTCTATTTACCTACACAGGCCCATTTAGAAAGCGTCAGTCAATACGAGCGATCACCACTAACAACTCGTGACCGCTCGATACTTGCTCAAACTACGCCACGCCGTACCTCCACAACGGCGCTTTCTTATCGCTCTTCTCGTCGATTACCTACTTACACAAGCACTCCATCTCATCGAGTACCCGTGACACCACCTATTAGCGCGACGCGTTCAAATATATTTTCCGCAGCTCCTCCATCTGCATTTACCGAGGCAGGGAGGATATTTGTACCGTTAGTAGAAGGTGTAACACTGAGGAAATGTAGCGAGGTTTGCATTTCAGAATTTGACCGGGAGGAAAAGCTAAAGTAAGTTTTTCTGAAAAAGGGGGTGTAAACAAGCGAGTTGGCGCGATGTGAATGATTAGGAGGATTGATTATTGCTTGCTAATCATTTGTCATTCATTTCTTTTTCCTGCAAGACCGAACACGTCTATAATAACAACATTTGATCCAGAAAAAGACAAAGAATTATACGAAAAAGCCATTGACGTCTATAAGAATTTTAGAGATGTCGGTGATAAAGACTCCAAGAAGAAATAGACAAGATGAGGAAAGATAAGATAGCGATAACATACAGATTCGCTTCGATGGTACGATATCAGACGCCAACCATAGAATTTCAAAAATGATAATCAAATACACAAGATCACTTGAATACAACGATATGTATGCCAAATAATTAAATGCATTATATAACTGTCAATACATGATCCGCATTCAAAAAAAACTATCTTTATATGTCTCTTCATCTAATTCGTCCATTCCGTTTTTTCCTCTCGGTATCACTTGGGCTTTGCTCAGCACTCTATTCGTATCGGCTATCCTTACAAGAGGGAATGAACATATCTCCACTTCTAAATTTTCGACTTCATCTTCACTCCACGGTCCGGCCATCATACTCGGTGTTAACTTCTCGCCACTCTCAAAGAAAAACTTAAAATCTGGTACCGGCTCCTGTGCATGGAATCCAAAGTATAGATGTATCGCCTGCTGAATTAGATCATGTACTTCCATCATAGCTTCTTCTTTTTTCCTGCCTTCGAGAGTAAGAACTCGATATCGCGACATGGTTGTGACGAGGTCGTCGGTCAAGTTTTTAATGAAGGGGTGGGACGAGTTTACAAACGCTCGCGAGCCTAGAATAGCATAGATTTGTTGCCGTATTTTTATTGGAGTGATAGTTGTTAATTGATCAGTGCCTTTGCGAGATGAAGAGAACTGACTAACTAAAGAAACCAGATGACTTGTCGTGCTTATAATTGATGCCTCAAGATCCTCATCCGGTGGTTGACGTCCATTAGTAGCTATTTCAAGACTACCATTTATAAAGGCATCTATATGTGAGAATATCGTTTCTAAAACTAGTCGTTGAAGACAAGCACTCAGAACAGGTTTCGGTCGTTTATCTGTCATTTTTGTCTCGCATTTGTATTGACGTAGTAGCTCTGCGGCTGCTTCCTCGTTGATTTTCACGCTAGCACCTTTGACTTTACACAAGTCACTGAGAAGGTGTTGGAGGTCGTTGATCGCTTTGGTAAGTTGGACTGAATTGTTAGAGTCGTCATCGCTCCACCGGATGTTGGTTGCCGAACCAAGAGCCGATTGATAAGCTGAAGCTTCTTCTTTCAGTTTTTGCATTTCTTTGCGCAACTTTCGGACTTCTGCTTCAGCTAAAAAAAGAAATATGAGTAAGCAAACGAGAAACACATGCATCAAAAAAGTTTGAGTGAGCAATGGGTTTGTAAATAAAAAATTACTTTTTAACTTACCACTTTCATGAGCCCTCTGCTGCAATAATCTATCATTTTCATGCTTTGCAAGGATGGCCTCTTTTTCTTCTTTAGCTTTGTTCACTTGTTTAGTTAATTCTTCCTTTTCCCGACACGCTTCCGTATAACTATTGTTTAGCTGATTCACATTGCTAAGCTCGTTTCTAAGCTCTTGAATCTGTTCTTCATATTGCCTGTATTTTTCGTCTGCTTCTCTTCTTAACGTCCGAGACTCCTCAGCCTTTGCTTTAAGTTTGTTTTTCGTCTTTTCGAGTTTAGAAGCGAGTAGAGAAATTTGTTCACGAGGTGCGTAACGTAAAAGGTCTTGACCGCGAACATCGTCAGAGTCATTATCGCTATTGTCCTTGGCACGAACGTCTTTGGGAGTTCGCGGTGGTGGGCGAAATGGTTGTGGAGAAAGGGGTTTTTGTTTTTCTGTTGGCACATGTTCGGGATAAAGAAAAGAAAAGTCCTGGTAGTAAATGTTTTGCGGGAGGGGACGTGTCTGTTTAAACGATATCATCGAGTTATCTCTTCAATTATACTTACGAGGAATACCCTTGCCATGTTCGCCGGGAGGTTTCACATTGTCAAACAAATTGGGAGCACTTGCTACGCAACATTACAGAATATCGATTAATCTCAATATATCCACGAATCTATTTCGGGGCTCACACATGCTATTCCTCACCATTAGACGTAATTGGGCGATTGATGGGTTTTCTAGCACTTCTCCTTGTTGCCTCTGCACCAGTTTGATTATAATAAGGTTGTAAATTATAAATGCGTTCATTCCGTAGCTGGTCTTTTTGGTAGGCATTTGGTTCGTTATATTCGTTTGAATACATCAGATCGGGCATTAGTCGTCCCGATAATGTTGCTGTAGAATCAATTGGTCGTTGATTTGGTGAGCCAACATCAGATGTCGAGATGCCATGAATATTTATATTGCTCAATCGTCGAGATCGTTTTTGGTCGGTTAAGATATCATCGGGCAAGGGTTCTTTTGCGTCTTTTGCGTCTTCTGCAGGTTTAGAAAAATTTGAATGTAATGAGTGCATTTTGCGATTATGCTCCGTTATAGTTCGTTCATTACAATATACTTATCAATTACGGAACCAAGTTTTACAAGAGGAAAAGAAAGGTGCGTCTTTATTTATCGTTCAGAATGCGACACAATCAAACCTCAATAGTACTTGTAAAAGTGGTACATGATTCCTAAATTTGGATCCGTGAAACATTGCTTAATTATCATTCAGTTTCAAAATTCGTTTTACTATTTCCTCGTACATTGTCCAAACAATGGCTGACTGAATAGTTTTTCTCGCCAGTCGCAAGGTCAGGCCGTCAAAGAAGCCTATGATTCCTTCTTCCTTTATACGAAACGAATTAGTGAAAACTCTGTATAGACATATTCGACAACAAGACACCATGTCATGGCATCTCGTGCCATGCCATGACATGCCATGACATGCCATGACATGCCATGCTATGCCAGTCATGCTGTTACCTTAAACACTAAACGTGCTGATTGCCAGGTATTAGAGTATTTGTACGGTTTCAACTGCATTCGCGTCTTTAACATGTCAAACGGTTGAGTGGTGACTGTTGCGGCAACGCTGGCGAATATTGCTTAAAACGGCACAAGTGATTAGTTAAAGGCTCGGCAAAAATCATAAACAAAAAAGAATAAATGAACAGCTCCAATTGAATATATCACCGGACGACATGTGTATTACGGGCGATGCTATAGAGTACGAATTGGTCGTCTTCCATTCTAAAAGAAATTGATTGTATGATAGATAAGATTTTACGATAAACCCTTTGGACCGATATTTGCAATGTGCTTTTTACCTCCAATCTTTGTCTTTGCGTTCTCATAAAACAGAATATACAATCCTGCTTGTGGAGCGTCTCTTATTGCGGTCGCACCATATCCAGCGAATAATCCTAAGAATCAATTAAAAATCAACATACACACGTAAAAAAAATAAGATCCAAATCCATGTTGACTTGCCTTTGACGCCCTCGTTACGTACAATCGATATTAGTGCTTCCCAGATACTCTTGTAATTATAGATATTACTCTATGAAAAACGACTTGTCAATACAGCCTGCGCTTACAAATCGGGGATGTCAAATGGGACGATGATCACCATATATCCTTTTTAACATACCTCATATCTAACTTTAACGACTGTGATGGGCATCATTATGAAACCGACAGTAGCTCGCGCGGTCATTCCTGCAATAAGATTTTCCCTTTTTGACAATACTGGCAATAACGATACAGATTCATCTGATTTTACTTTAGCAGAGGATATCGAACGTCTCTGACTAAACAAACGTCGAATCTCTGACAGTGTAAGGAAATATAATCCTTGTCCAGGAACATTTCTTGGGTACCGTGAGTAATAAAATTGGGACAGTATTTGGAAAAGCAAAGAAATGAGCGAATATTCCAAAATTTGATAATTTTACCGAAGTATAGTTGGTACTGTTCCTCGCCATAAACCAAGCACGGAATCTTTGCGAGTGATTTCTTTGACAGTTGATACAATCGTGCTGAGAGAATAAAAATGGAAAGAGAAGAGAACATACATAAATGTGCAATGATTATGTTATCATTCGCTCGCGTTTTAAATATAACTGATTCGGTTACCACACCTATTTAATGGATTTAATCTCCTTCCGTCTTTCGAGATAACGAGGAGGTGATTTTGCTTTTGTTGTTGTATTCTCGTTTTAATTAAATCAAAAGGTTGTAACGCCACGCAAGAGACGAGCGCTGATACAGCGCCTGCTATGAAATGTACTGTGGGATCTTTCTTTTCCTCAGGCATCAATATTTGATTTTACAAAAACAACATTGTAACTAGGAAACTTGCTGTACGGTTAATGTAAATTTGGCACATCATCCAATCACATCTTTCAACCTGCCTACACAGTTTATTCACAAATCAGTTGAACTTTGTACAAAAAAAAAAAAGAGGGTTAAGTTTAAGGTTGGAAGGGGGGGGGGGGAAAGAAAAGAAAACGGGATTTGACAATAACTCGACCAATCCAATCGCGCTTTCTTGAATTATATTATCCGAAGCATTATAAAATAGCGTTTAACCAGCGAAACCTGCACTAGCTACATTCTTATTCCACACATTACTTTATGAAAAAAAAAACATTTACATTAAATACATCCTTCACAAATTATTGTCCTCATTTCTCCCAGTAACACCAATCGATCAACCTAGAACCATCACCAGACGCAAATAATGATATATTAGTTTCTGGAATATTGGCACGCGTAAAGTTTTTTTAATTTTTACACTTACATTCGAAAATCCTGATCATTCCAGTCCTGCTTTTCTCTTGACCGCAATTTTTTGTATTTACGTACTTCTTTGATTTTCTTGGCAACGACTAGAATAAACATTTCACTGTGAGCATCATACCATCCCAGTTGATCGACTCAATCATAACTTACATGTTTGAGCAGCCAAAAGCTCTTCATTTTTTTCCATGTTCGATGGAAGCGATGGCAATGGTATCGTGGGAGGCCGCCTAGTTTGCAGACTTTCATCCGCCTTTCCTATAATGAAACACAAAACAAGGTTAAATAACAATCTCTCAAATTCAGTATCTTTCCAAATCCAACTTACTTTTGAGAGATTCAGATGAAGCAAGGTAAGTTATGAACTGGCTTTTACGACGAGTTCCAGAAGCTGGCGCGGATTTTCTTAGACCTTTTGGTAGAAAATGTGGCGACATCATTACGGATAGTGAAGTTAAAGAATTCAATATTTCATCCGCAGGCGGACGTTTGGCCGGATCAGAGTCCCAACACTTTTGTATCAACTCGACATAGTTTTTACAAATTCTATCAGTTATAGGAGGTCGTGATCCTTTACAGATGTCGGCTTGTAAAGCAGCATCATGCGCACGGTCGGCAAATGGTCGTTGACGACTTAGAACTTCCCACATAATAATTCCAAAGCTGTATATATCCGCCTTCTTAGTATATCTCTCTCCTCGCAGAACCTCAGGCGCGACATACGGCATGACGCCATAAACGCCTTTACCTGATTTACGCGAATCCTCATAGTGTCGATGGAAACCAGCATCGCCAACATACAAACATTTCCCATGTTGAAGAATATTACCACCATGAAGATTACGGTGTAAAATATTGGCTCGATGTATAACAGACAAGCCTTGAGCAATGTTTTTCAACGCAAGAATGTCACCTGGCCACAACTTTGAACGTGCCATCGAATGATATATATCGCCTTGATCGGCAAACTGCATTACCACTATTATCTCTTTCGTGCTCGGTTCTATAGATAAACCGTAGATTCGTAAAACATGAGGTAGGGTAAAGTTATCAAAGGATTCGCAATCTGGTGCACATCGACATAAAAGACGTAGCTGTGTTTAGCAGGAAAAGAGGAGAGAGTGTGTATGTGAGTGTGTGTGTGTGTGAGTGTGTGGGGAGGGGGGATGGGTGGTTTTAATAATTAGATTGCTTTTGTAGGAAATTCAGAAAAGAAACGTTTCTTGATTTGTGCAGACGTTACTCGTCGGTATTTATAATAATACAACATACCTCCTCAAAGTAACTTGTCGTTACTTTTTGAGACTTGCTAATGACTTTGAGTGCGACTTTTACACGTGATCGTCGTAACCATTGTGGAAGTCCTTTAAATTTTGATGACCCTCCACCAAAACACGGTGGACCGTCTCTCGGGCCATCCTCCCAAATTGCAGAGTAGACAGTGCTATGCCCACCGGATCGAATAGGTTTGACGTCTCTTAGTTTGTTATATGGAATCCATTCCAAAAACGAAAAGATTGATGGAGCATTGCGTTGAACGTCTTTAATGACCACGTCGACAACTTTGTTTCCGCTCGTCCAGCCAGGAGTTCCGTCCTGGTATCTACGGTATTCGCACGAAGCACACCAAAAATAATAGGTGCTCTGCTGTTGACAAGAAGGACATGTGCCATAACTTTCTGTAGGCACCACAGCGTCAGCCTTCTCGCCGGTTGTCACAATCATGTTTGGATTGATAGAGTCTAATTATGCCGTGTTGGTTTTTTAAAGTTGATGGTTATCAACATATGAACTTATATATCTTTTTGATATTCCCGTTAATTTTACAATACGAATGAGGGTGGAGAGATATTATTGTTGAGTAATGGAACAAGGTAGAAAAAGCCAGTTAATAACAACAATACGGAGGGGGGACAAAGGATACAGGAGCGGTTTTTAAGTTTTAGGTTTTTGCATTTATAATTAAATTTTCCCTCAGACCACTCTGCAAATTGTTGCCGATCATCACCAAGTGCAGCGAATCCGATTTTTTCTTCATGATAAAGTATGCAAGTGGAAATGGATCACAGCAAAGCTTGCGACGACGCCCGTGTTAAATGAGACACTGATGTAGCTAAATGGTCAGTGAATTTTGTCTGAAATGATGCGTATAATGCTATGTTTGGTCAAGACCTATCGCATGTGTGCGTTCATATGCTTACTGTATTGTGCGATCCTTGGTTTTCGGCAGGCCAACCCACGGATGGAATAAAAACCGATTGTTCCCAAACTTGTGTTTAGTGGAACGGCAAAATTTCCAGTTCGACTCTGTTTACATATTCATCTTTTTCGCACAGTCATCTCATCGAATGTCTCACCATTTCCGCTAATACCCGACGAGGTCTCACGTAGGTTTCCGAGAAAATTCTACTAATAACCTCCTTTCCCCCACCCCCTCCCTTGTTATTACTATGACTAATAAAGTGATACTAGAAAATAAAACTGGAATTTCAAGCAAAGGAGACGAAATATCAACAAGTACACATAAGCATTTGATAATACACAATGGCTTCGGGAATGGTAACATAAACTCTGAGACTTGTCATTCGAACCAATAATTTATTCGTCGATGATGACTTCCAAGAACGTTTCTCATCCACATTACAAATTAAACATATTAGTATAGGGGGAAGGGAAAAAACAGACGCAGTTTCTATTTTATTACGCAATTTTTAAACAACTCATATGATATTAATCCAATTATTCCCAAGTCATTTATGTGAGCCTATATATTATGTCATTTAATTCATATTGTCTTTTTTCGTCCTTAGCCGAATCTCTGACCTAGTCCCGTTCTCCTTCCACCAACAGTATCCCTATAGCAGAAAACGTATTCCAAGACTGCAAGCTGTAATGGGCTCAAATGACTTCTTGGATTCCAATATTCTATACGAGATCGTTCCTTTAATTTCTGCTCGTTATCTATGACATTACTATTATTATTATTATTATTACGAGGATTATCATGTTCAAATCGCTGTTGATATGATTGAACACATTCTTCTTCCTTTTTGTACATTTTGCCTAGAGCGACTGAAGATGTCTGATTAAGTATCAGACTGCGATTTTTTGAAGAAGATGGAATGGGTGGGGGAGGTGGAGGAGGAGTAGGAGGAAGAGGTGGAAGTCTCGGATATTGGTCGCTGAGCATGACGAGGATTCGATTCTCTCGAGTAGATATGTCGAAAATACCAGGAAATCTCTCACCAAACAAGGTTTTCTGGTTTTGGGTATTGGTTATTGTGCAAGAACATAGTAATAATAACAATGGTAACGGAGTGTGATTAGATTATATCCTGATTGTCATTGATTGTAAGATCAAACAATATGCTAAATCAGTAGATCATGGTCAATGCGAGGATCGAAAAAAAAATTTTTCTCGGCATGGGCTTGAACTTTTTTTTTTTTTATCTCTTTGACTATCCCTCTTCCTACTCTTATTCTCTCCCAATCTCTCTCTCGACTTACCTCCTCCACCCAATCTCTCTCTTTCTCTCCGTCTCATACGCACACACTCTCTCTTCCGCAACCAAGAATACTCACTAATTTGGAGCTGTACTGCAGGGCTCTCCCAAAATATCTTAGATACTGCATCGGTATATCCGATAGATACATAGAACCCCCATGATTTATGAATAATTCAATCAATCTTCTCTTAGTTTCTGGTGTATCTACGTCATCAACTAGTCCACGCACTTTTGCCGACTTTGGATCTATATTGAGCATTTTGTAAGGTTGACTTCCCTTGGGTGGAATCTGATTCTTTAAAGAATTATTATTAAGACTGTCAGTCAAGTGAACACTAGTATGCATGACATAACCAAACTGTTGGTTATGGCTTCAAGTCTAATGACTAAATTCTTATCTTTGTTGCCTAAGAAATTGAAGTCGATAGGTGCCTTTTCATTGCCTTTGTTTATGCTCATCGTAATGAAATGCAGAGAACTGATGTAATACAGGCTTACCAAGAAAGTTGATGAATAAATGTACTAGCCCGATCTGCATATGTGTTTTCATTGTAATTGGTCCATCTTGCGACACCCCCTCTAAATAAGTCACCTGATTGTATCTGGGAGGGTCCACCGTTTTACATAATCATAGTAATTTTATTGGCCAGCGTTTATAAGCGATGCACTTCCAAGTAAGAAATCAAAAGCACATCCATCCGTCTATCCGAGGAACCGTTAATGCGTATCAATTCAGAGACCCTATCCTCTCACCATTGCTGCTGTAGAGTTATTACACAGAACTTTCACTCGCCGTCATTTGATTTGCGTGGCCAGTTGAATGACGACGAGATCGCGTTTGCGTTCGCATCACCACTCGATTATTTTGAACATCAGGCTGTAGCATATGTTTGGTTGATGTACTATGAAATACCAACTCATTACGCAAAACGCGTATATCTTGTGGAAGTGAAATCTTTTTACCAAGAGCAAAAGTGAATTCATGCTTTTATGTCGTGTGAGCCATTGTTTACGCTACGAAAATTTTATTTGGCCAAATAATATGCGGGTTCGATTCCCGATAACTTGCTCCATGGCGGATAGTGAATTATTTCATCCAGCGTACATTTCATAGAGATCAATTCGCAAAGCCTGTATTGTTTGGTGAAGATGCCATTTTATTTGACAAGAAATATTCAATTCTTGTTCTCTGCTAATATGAACAATATATTGTTTTCCCATCTTACTTATGAAGGAGACAACCAAGATTTGATAAAAAGAAAGTTTGGGACTGCAATGGCATATTTTTAATGTTATTTTTTTATTGGGAAACACGTAATAAGATGAGACTTCAGAAACGCGTGCTGTTATTGTAAACACTTTTCACCAGTTGTTATTATAGGAAGAGCTGGTTGAGGTGCCAGTCTCTTTGGAATACATTTTCAATAGCTGTTGTCCCCGTGATCCTAATAGCTGAAGATTAGTCAAAATACGAGATCATCAGTTTCAAAATTTTCTTGAGTAAACGCGAAATAATCCGAGTCTTTGAGTCTAGATACGTCAGTTTCCAACTTTTTAGCACATTACAGAATGAGAATGTACGCTTACAAAACAACTGCTTTTCAATCTCTTAATTCTATCAAATATTGTGCTCAACATGCTATTAAGACCTTTCGCCTTCATTATGAACGTATTAGACACTGTTTCAAATAAATGCACTCGGATTCGCATGTTGAGAATGCGACAAGCGTACATTTTCTAGCAGTCACGTTAATGCTACAATAATCAACTTTAATAGCTTCCACCACAAGACAATTTATCTGAAAACTCAACGTGCACTGTTTTTTGCAATACTGCTACCAAGAAAGTGACATATTTAAGGGCCTCTTTGAAGTCAAATAAAAGGTAAGACTTGTAATCAAAAGAGTGGTTTTCGCTTAGAAATAATACTAATTTTAAAGAATCGCAGTCGAATGGCTACCTGTGCAAAGTTTAATGAAATCGTTATTACAAGAAATGAAGATAGATTCCCGTATAATATTTTCATACACGATAAAGTAATCAATTAAATTTTGTAGGCGACCGACGAGACATCATTGTGGCATGTTGCAAACAGTAATCATGAATTTGGGGAGATTCCCTCTCCGAACCACATGAATCATGATTGCACTGATGGAATTTGGTAAATGACGAGTGAGTGCGGATAAATTTCAATTGGTTTACACAAAAAGTTCGCATCCTGCAGCTAAAAAAGATAAAGAAATTGCGGATGCCAAGAATATTGCACAAATAAGAACATAAAGATTTTTTGCCGTTGTTTGCGAAACGAAGAACTCTCGATTGATTTGCAGTTTCGACAAAATATAAGCATTCAATTGACTATAATGTCTAACGCGTTGGGGCTAATTTATTCTCTTACTTCGGACAAACTCACTCATCGGACATGGAGTAGACATAGAACTTGCGGTTTGCCTGGCATCACTCATCGGACACGGAGTGGATACAGGACTTATCATTTGCATGACATCATCCATGATAATCCTTGCAGCCTCTGGTGCGGGAGTCCTCAGTAGCTTTGAGGGTGGCAAAGAGAACTTCATAGTCACTGGCGGAGAGAAACCCAAATCACTATTTGTCGACGACAATTGTTTTGTTGTTGTCGATAGTTGGCTCATTGTCGGGAAATTCGGCAAATTGTTTATTGCTGGCGATAAATTGTTCATTGCTGGCGATAAACCGTTCATGGCTGGCGATAAACTGTTCATGGCTGGCAATAAACTGTTCATGGCTGGCGATAAACTGTTCATTGCTCGCGATAAGCTGTTCGTTGCCAGTGAGAAATTGTTTGTTGCTGGTGATAAATCGTTCGACGCCGAGTAAGAATCCAAGGACTCGAAAAAGCTCAGCCAGAACTGAAAATAGGATCCAGGACAAGTTAATGCTTGCGATCTTTTTTTTGGATGTATTCAAGCGTCAAGATTATCTACCTACCTTGGTGTTATCCCATATGTCCTTTGATAGTTGTGCAAATCGTTCGACTTGTGGTAATACTCGCGTTGCTACTATATGATGGCTTGTAGAAAAATTGTGATCTATTTCCTGTAATGTTAGTGTAATGTTTTGTTCTATTTTTTCTAAGCGTGCGGTCAAGTCGTTTACGGAAGCAAGAGTCATGTTGTTTGAATTTTCGCAGCAATGTAAGACGCGATTTACCTCCTTGCAGTCACATCACATGATATAAATAAAATGATTGGGTGAAACCGAGAATGATAAGATGATAATAAAACAAGCTGGAACAACAACAATAATAATAATAAATTGTATATATTGAGATTAGATATAGACGGGCTCCTCTACAATCATACCCTCTTTACAGTCACTAGTTTTCCAGGGCAACCAAAGGTGTGACTATAGAGAGGGCGACTGCCCACATATTGCGCAAACATTCGCTTTGGAACGCGACAGTATTTGAACGTGCTTTAGCAGTCTGTTGTATTGGTGCATCGTTAATTCTATTTCTTCTATACGGACTTATCGCTAAAGTTTGTATAAACCGAAAGTGATGTCCGAGAAAGCATCGCTGTCGTCCTGTGCTATTCGCCAAGTTTCACATGGTGTTGGCAAACATAAACGATCACATGGAGAGCTCGGAGATGTGCTATCCAGAATCAGAAACTTTTGTTTTGCCTTTAACACGATGGAGTTGTCACGTGCCATCATTGTATTCGGCGATGCTAATCAAAGATTAGAGACGCACTGGCTGATTTTACCGCGACTTGCTTTTAATGCATCGAAATCTACTGAATACGGCAGATAAATCAAATAGATGCTTGCGTGAGTAGTCGAAAGAGCCTAATCATTTGCTTCGAAAAATTTAAATACTTGCGTTCTTCAATACTAATAATTAGAACAAGAAAGTACTTAAGAATGGAAGTCGTAAGGGGTTTAGAAAAAATGGAAACAAAAAATGTCCAATGTTACTCGTCATAGTATCACGTGTAACGTCGACAAGAACATCGGAAAACCATATGATCCATATTCTTCTGGTGACCTTTTTACTTGTCGAACTATGATGATAATTTCTAAATTAGAGACTGCATTAACAATTAGACAAGAATTATCGTTAGCTTCGGTGTCTGTAGAGGGAAATGATCAGGATCAACAAATGCATGATGTGACTATTTGCGGGTCCATCTTGTTATTATGAGTACAAACGATGAAATCAGCATCTTTGGTTGAACGTCTGTTATATCGGCCTTGTGCATAATAATTTTTATTATAGGCGACATTCATTACCGTCATCGAGTCATGCTCATGCGGGCAGTGTTTTACGATATGGTGAAACAATAGAAGATCCGTCACCAGGTCGTAAATGACCTGAGATGAATAGGCCCCACCACGTTGGTGAACGAATTACTCTTTACCTTTTGGTTAATTACATGATGAGTAAATGAGGACGCTGAAATTTAACGATTAAAATTGCATCCGAATATTATAAATTTCGCAACATCACAATGAAGCTGTCATCCCTGAGACTGATAATTAAATCTATTAACAGTTGACATTGTTTTACACATAATCAGTTAGTGTTGTGAGATCATTGCACCAAACGATAAACTTACGCGACGGGTTCTGACCCAAATCAGAAATTTGCATAATTGTGTGACGACAATGTGGCATACTTTGAATTCCTATTTGGTCACAACGTTTCCCTGGCCAGCTTTTTGATTCGCAAGTTTAATTCCGAGTGATATACAAAAGAAACGGCCACTATGGTAACAGTTCCGCTGTACAACCAGCAAGTTGGAATTAAAACAGATGTTGTGAGCATAATGGGGGAAAGAACCCTCTCCCCCGCATAGAAAGTGGTAAACTAAATGCAATACTTTTATTTCTATGTGATTTGAACACTTTACTACAAATGATTATTCACATGTGAAATCCGCTAATCTGGCAATGAATTAAAAGTCACAAGCTTGTGCAATCTCATGTTTGCTGTACAAATAATGAAAGTTCCATTCACCATAGTCCATTATTAATTGTCTGGCCCAATTTATCATCTTAGTTTAATCATTGTTCTCTGTATTTCTCCTTCGCAGAGTTGACTCGTTCACATTATTACTTCCTGCATATTGCTCTCCGACATCCATCTTTCTCGCTTTTCTGATCCACTTTCTCCTCCTAGTCATACTCTGCTCACCAGGAGCATTGCGAGATGCGGGATTTTCCCATTGTTGATCGGTGTACACCCAACCTTCCTCATCTGGTTCAACGTAAATCTCTCCATATTTGTTATCCTCCCACACCTTGGACAAATCAATAACCCAGTCGTCCTGGATCCATTCATATCCTTCTGGTGCCGTTGGATTCTTGGGAGGGAGAGCAACTGATCCAGAGGCATTGGACCATGGGGCTCTTTCAGACCCGAGCAGTTGTGGAATGAAACCTTTATTAGCCCTGCAAATAAGCATGAAAGGAAGAGTGATCTAAGAATATCTTCTTTCAAATTCAACAACGAAACGCAAAATTTTGTCCTTCATATCGTTACTTCTTGGATCGTTTCTGGTTACTTACCACCAACGCTGATTCTCATACACTGATACAGTAATCTCATCCGTAACGCTATCCGCATCATCTTCCGTGGCAAGAAATTCACTCCATTGCTTACCAATTTCATCAATTTTCTGTAACAGGTGAGGACTCATCTCCTTTGCCAATGCCTTGCATAGCCTGGTGTTGGCAATAAGCGCACCCACCCCAACCACGACAAACACGTATCTCCATGGCACGATCCAAATAACCAAACTAGCGAAACCCAAGCTCACTACGGTGAATTGCATAATACGAAGACTCATCTGCTCATCACTCCAATCGACATACTTCAACAGCGGTATAAAGGCATCGTATCCGTCTGAAATCATACCCATCATGTTTTGAATATTTTGCATATTCTTCAAATAGTCAACGGAATTTTCTTCTGGAAGTGCAGGAGCAGAACGTTTAGATCTCTTTTTTATCTTTTTCCCTTTTAAGGGTAATGTAGCAGAAGAAGTTAAATTGGGATATCTTTTTTGATAGTATGATATTAACACAGCCAGTAAAATTATTAATGGCGAGAGAATCAGCAATCGCGGATAAAGACCTAAAAAATCGGTAGACATTAATTGGTGAATGTCGCAACGAATGTTGGGGGGGGGGGGTAAATCAAAGAGTTGGCTCAATACATACATAAATATACATAAACGACCATGGCCAATACTGTGTTGGCAGGATTTTTCCAAATAAATATATTTTCAACGGCGTCTTGGAATTCAAATATGAACCCGCACTTTTGCACAAATTTTCTAAAATTCACGGTAGTCGTCTGTAGATGCAAGGGAGGATGTGCTGGATTCGATTGCAACTTTGACGTGTTGGTCAAGTTCAACGCCGACGATATAAGCAGGTCTTGAATGACTTTTGTCGCATATGAGGGTTTAGTGGGCGAGACAGGTCGAGCAGCTTGTGGTGGAGCTGGCTGATCTTCTGCGTCCAAACTTATTTTAATATTAGGCACAGTTGTGGATATCTTTGGCATGGGAGGAATCCTGCGCGAGCTAGCATTAGAGTCACTGACGAGTTCCATTGATGCTGAGCGGCGTAATGCAGACGGTCGTGGCGGAGGTGGAAGTGTTGGAGGTGGTTTGGGAGCAGGAATAGCCGGACTGGTGTCAAAGGTTGAAGCACGCTTAGACTTTCTTTTACTCATATTATGTAATTAGTGTCGGAAATATGTGGGCTGTGGGAAAGAATCTAAATAGAATGTCTTTTGTTTGTGGAAGGCGTATTGGTATAAATAGTCGAGAAAACGTGAATGTCGTGAATAAGGATGCAACAAATTTCGTTGTTTATCTCAGTTTTATTGATGTTCTTTATTTGGCATCGTTCACGCACTCCATGTGTTGTGCACCTGCTACATCATAGAAATACTAATTAAGATAATCGATCTGCAAAAAGGGATTATCAAAAAATAAATAAATAAAAGAATGACCAATTATAATGGCATAATAATAGACAAAAGCCATTTCCTTATGGGCTCTGGCACTGCAATTGACGTTTATACATAGAATAGCAAAGACGGACGTAGTCTAATAATGGGTATTAAGATCGTGGAGCAAATATATTTTGGTCATTCCGGTGCCTTATTTCGAAAAATATTACCTTCTTCTTCATAATAAAATTTATGCTTACAATATGTATGACGTTGTTGCATCAACATACGGCAGATTATAACGGGTTACTGGCATCATTAAAAACGAAAATAGTTATACTATTTTAGGTTATTTCCAATAATGCAGTAAAGTCCAAATTCGTGTCGTCGTTCTATGACATTATTCGAATTATAATGCGATTATTAATCAAACCAAATTTATGCTTTTTTTTTCGAGATTTTGCCCATGGATTAATTTTTCGACCTCTCTATGTCATGGCAAATGTAATGATAACTAACATTCAACTGAGAAAACGTATTAATGTAAAACTAAGTCTTTATAAAAATATAAATATGAACTAATTTGCATCAGATTTCAAAAAATTAAAGTATTTTAAAAACAAGGTAAAAAATGCCACCTTATAGTTTTAAACTAACACAGACCAAGTCAAATTTTACCAAAGAAAACACTAATCAAAGATCAAAAAAAAGGAAAGCTAGCAAATAACTTGAGTGGGTATAAAATAACTATATCGTACCCACCGAGTCTAGGTTATAAGAATACCGGCTAGAGAATGTCAACCGGAGGGGGGGAAAAAGCCCAACAATCTTAGCAGGTATTTTAACATTCAAAGGACACAGAGAAAACCTGGGATAGCTGAAGAAAAAAATTAATTTTTAATCCGAGCAAGCGATGTAATTGGTCACGCACTCGCTGCGATAATTTTCGTGTTTGCATCGTCATACATGGATGATATGTCACAGCGTAAAAATTTTCTATCACAATATGTTGACTCGAAAAGTTGTTCCTTCGGGTCTGGCCAGATATCGAGCTGAGGGTGGCGGCAGAGCACACAACTCTGCTGCAATGATTTTGCGTTGTGTCATTATATGCTGAAATATTCTGTCGATACAAAAAAATTTTGATTATACGCCAAAAATAATTCAAGTTTTAATATACAAAAAGTCTTGGTGCAAAAAATTTTGGAACAGCAATCGGCATGTTTTTAATTAAATTGAAGGCTTTTATAGTATCAATAACAAACCATATGAAAATAGAACAGCAATCGGCACGTTTTTAATCCTTTTAGCTAGTCTACTCGCTTTTAGACCCGATGATAATTATGTAAACGGGACTGTAATCTGCACGTTTTTAACGTTTTCAGAGGCAAATTTCATCACTCCGCGGGACATAATAAAAAACTTTTGCGGGTTGTTTTAACGCACACGTAATATGTTCTGTTGCGGAGCAAACACAATAAAAACCGATGCCGTTGTTTACGGGTTTAAACCATTATTTTCGATTAAATTTTTTCTTCTCCTTATTGTAAGAGACGACAAAGTACCCCCGTAATTGAGATACATGACTACTATTTTCTTTGCCAAAAATACTAATTAGCTAAAGTGTACGGCTTTTCAGATTAAGAAGCAATTACGCATATTCGATAAACGTTTGCTTGACTGGCTTCAAAGGCAAAGGCAATATTGTTTTTATGGTTTCGATTTTTTTCCCCGGCATTTGAAATTTTGCTGTAAAAGAAGAGTAATCAATGAGATGGGTTTAGCTCCAGCAATAGCAATCAGGTTAGAAAAAGTCTAATCTAGACCATCAACAAAATATAAGCGACTAGTCGAAAATAATAAAATAAAGTTAAATAGCCACGACACAATTTGATATTTACTTGCTAAGCCGATTGGGACAGTAGCATGGAAACTCAGAAAAGAACCACTGATCTAACGTAAACTCTACAATTCGAAACATTTGTTGTCTTTGAAAACGAACCAGTTTTATACTATTTAGATATAGAATATTTTCTGTCACGTGGATTTGAGCTCGTGCACGCCAACCCAGAGAAAATTCAATATTCGTCTCAAGAATATTTAACACAGTCAGTTAGTTCATACGACCCGAGTTTCTACAAATTTAACCAAGGCGAAGGAATATGCTAAATAGCGTAGAGAAAGTGTCTTAGCAAAAGCCAGTAAAATAAATGGCTACGATGTTATCTTTGGTCCTGCGGTAGTATCACAGAAAATGGCACACATCAATGGGAATATCCACCGAAATTAATTTTGAATGGTGTCCAATTTGCCCGCTTTTTACCGATAAACGACGACGGTGTAGATATATTTTGAAGATTTGTTAGGCCGCCAAAACTTCTCAAAGTTCTTGATACAATGAAGAGTTAAATTGGTGTTTGAATTTAACAGGTCGCATTATTATCATCGTATCACAGAAAAAATAGGGAAAGTTGTGATCAGAAAAAGCGAGGCGAGAATTATGTACACAACAAGGTTTTAGTCTTATTAAATTCTGTATAACTGTAAAATTCTACTAGTAGAGAATTGTTATTTACCGAATATAAATATTGGATAATTTTTCTGTCAAAAATAATAACGTTTTTTATTCGGGAAAAAAAATGTTACGTAATAAACTTTATCCATTTCCACAATGGCATTTTTAGTTTATAAGTTAGCGGACGAATTAAATCAATCTTTTACCACGTGCTGGAAATAAAATGTATCGAACGTTCAATGGGAAAAACGGCCGGACGCGTTTTATAAAAAACGAAATCTGGTTTTGATTAGACACCATTTGAAGGAGTCAAAGTAGACATCTGACCAAATTATTGCAAATAGTCCAAAAATTATATCGCGAAAATGTTACATTCGATCGATAAAGTACCAAATTTCTCCTGAAAGAGGGACGTGGTTATTTTTTTTAAAAAAAAACACACGCAAGGAAAAATTGGCCTAACATCAGTTCAATCTATGTATCAAAGCTTTTTCGACCGTTCAAAGTTAATAAGATGTACTCTTTAATGAAGCCGGTGCATATAATAAATGATCAATATTGTTAAGTGTTATACACAAAAAAAAGGCGTAACGCTGTTGATGTACAAGACAAGAATTTGCAAGATTGACAGTTCATTGTAGTTGACTTGACAAATGCAAAAGAGGATTCTCTATACATTGGGTTAAGGCACTCTAAATGCATGTCTGCAGTGCCGCTCACGAATAGTCCATAAAAGTTTGTACTGTTCAGCTTATTGCTTGACTACTAGACCATTGGGACGGTAAATGAATTCTATTCATTTATGTTGGATAGGGAAGTTTGCATTTAGAGAGACTTGACTGTACTCTCTTCTTTTTGTCTCTGTGGTGTGGAAACAGGTGCGTGGTACATCAGAGATATTTATGATTAATATGTTAGTAGAATTCCGCACCGCTTTGACAAAAACATTTAAATGTAAGGTATCCCCTGATATTTATACCCAACTATTCCAAATTGATTTTTAATGTCTAACGCTAATACATGATGTTCTTTGTTTTACGCTTCGTGTGTGTGGCTTAGCAAAAATTGCCTGAAAGAATACGTCACCTATTTGCGCGTGACAATTACCGTAAAAAAATCTTTCACGTATCGCGTCCCAACTTCGCAGATTTTAGAAATAATAAAACATATAAACATAGCGTTTTATCGCCAAGATGGGGCAGAAAGAGATTTGGCGAGGTTGATATTGAAAGATAGAGTTGTTCCTTTATTAAGGCCATTGAATCTGTTTATCGAGGAGTACATATTTGATTGGAAGTCGTTTCCAGAGTTTGATCTAACGCTAAACAAAGTAGATCTAAGGTTTCCAGCAATAAGAAAATTGTATTTATCAAAGTGTCCGGAGGACCGAAAAATACCGTTTTAAAGCACGTCAGAGAAGATACTGAAATTTTCATAAAAGAGGGTATGTTTGGTTTTGGTCGCTTTGTTTAGACAAAAACAAGGAATATTTGTACCTACATGGTTTATTGCATTGGTAAGGAAATACTTTTTTACCGCGCTAATTTTTTTTTGAAATAACATAATTTTTATTCTGTGTTTACTTTAGGTGATAGAATTGCCCGAAATAGCCGAAAAGGTTAAAAAACAAGCCGCTGAGTGAATTTTGTCTTGATAAGAAGACATTTCATCTCCGGTAACTCCACACATTATTTTTTTTGTCACGATTTATCGCTTTCAAAGAAAACAGCGTGAGAACACTGACGAATAACTTTATGCTTAGATGTCATTTGTTTTCTTCGAGTAAGAATACCCAACATGGGGAGTTTGGCAATTTACATGAACTCTAATCGTAAACCTTACGGAATTAATAATGACGCAAACCCCTCGACAACAACCATTAAAACTGTGCCTTATAAATTTGTATACTCTGTAAAAGTCAGAAAAACTAAACAAGCTACTTCACATTTTATTTAACTACTCGTACTTTACATTCTATAGATATTACGACCAGTAGCACGACTTAAATTGGATCATCGTACCTAATAACCTGAATTATTACGACAAATGACGGGACAACGCGGCATAATGTGGTCAAAATAGTGAACAAATACTCGATTGTTAAATTTAGAACTTAAGAGAATAACAAATAGTGCAATACGTATTTTAGCAATCCTTAAAAGTAAATCATTACCATAAAAAAGTATAATACTGTTGATGATACTAAGCAAGTTAGAAAGTTTAAAGTGCTTTAATTGAATTAGATGTCAGTGATTTGAAGAAT